TAACACCTAGGGACCGCCTGGGGTGGGCGGCGAGCCGCGCATCGGCCGACAATGTGCCGGTGTACGTGTTTCGGTCACACTCAGGGCCCGTTTTGCATGACCTGGCACATTACTGCAATACGCTGACACGCACACGCCACACACTGGACCCGTTGTCCCCAAGAGCTTTTGCACACTCCCGTCTAGCCCAGCAGCGTCTGAAGAAGCACCCCGCGCAGTTGGCGGAGCACGATGCGAAGCCACGAGTCCTCGTACAGAGCCCACGCCGCCGCAAGCGCCCGCCTGCCGATCTCGACAGCGACATCCTCGGTGGAGGCGATGCGGCTGAGCCCGCCGCACACGCTGCTGCTGAGTGGGAGGGCGCGCGCCGCCGCACCGACCGCAGCCGCCGCATCGGCCACGGCGCTGACTGCGGCGCGCGGCGCCTCCTCGAGGGCAGGCGCACCGAGCCGGGCTGCGAGCGCAGCTGCAGGGGAGAGGGAGAGGGCGGCGAGCGGTCCGCGGTCGAGCGCACGGAGGGTGAGGAGGGCACAGGCAGCGACGGCGGCGGCCTGCAGGCAGCGCTCGCGCAGATAGGAGATAGGCGCCCGCTCCCGCCGTGCCGCCGCGAAGAGAAGCGGAGCGAGGAGCACCTCGACGACCAGGCGGCCGCTTCGCCACTCGCGCCGCAGCGCCCAGGCCGCGCCAGCTGCCGCCGAGAGGCGGCCGCGCCCGGGCGCGAGGGCCAAGTCAAACGCCCAGGCACCGAGCGTCAGCGCGCCGAGGGAGAGCGCTTCGACCACCACAGCCGCCACGAGAGCGGACGCTGCGACGGTCGCCAGGCGGGAGGCGTCAGCAGGCGCGGGAGGCTGAGACCACCGCTGCTTGAGCTCGGCGGCGGACCGAGATCGCGCCTCCACAAAGTTGGAGGCGAGGCGCTCGAGCGTGCTGCGAAAGCCACCCGAGAAGCCTCCCTCCGCCATAGTCGGACACGGCGGGAGCAGCCGCGGCAGGAGCCGCTTGGAGTGCCGGAGAGACGGCTGCCGCGGCGTGGGAGCCAATGCTGAAATGCATGCTGGCGCAGCCAGGAGCACAAGAAGCACCATCATCGAGAGGAGGAGCCAGAGTCGAGGCGGCGCCGCTCGGTGGCGTTGAGAGGCGCCTGTGCGGGCCGCACACGAAGCGGAAGAAAAGAAATGGTTCCTGAAGAACGAAAACCCAACTTGAATAAAAATAAATAAAAACCGAGCGGCGAACACACGAACGTACGGTAACTAGAGCTGTCAAACGTTAACTTTGGGCCTAACAGTTGCACTATTGTTGGCTGAAATCCTCAACGTTGTTCAAGTGTTCTCCCCAGCCCAAGCTGTTACTGTTTGTTACTGTTGTTACTGTTGTTCAGCGGTCAGCAAGCAGAAAATGCCAAAAAACCCGGGTAAAACCCGAAAATACCTGGGGTTTCCCGGGCATTTTCGGGTATTACCGGGCGCGGTCGGTCGTGGCCTGGCGGCGGCACTCGCCTCCGGCCTGGCCAGCGTCAAAGCGAGTCGCCCAGGCTCCCTGCTGGGCGGCTCGCGTCGTGTTTGTAACGGTTCGAAGAAGCTCTTTGTTCACGGTTGCACCGTGAACAGGAGATTGGTCGAGGCTATGCACAAGCGATGCGCGTAGACTCCGTGTGGCTCTGGGCTGCAGCCTGTTAGAGAGCCGAGTCGCTTTAATAGCACGGCCGGGCACGGTCGTACCTCGCGTGCCCTCTGTGCGAAAGAAATCGCGCACTTGTGTGAACAACGAAAACCTCGAATAAACCGAAGAATAAACCGAAGAAAAAGTAAACGCGTCGCGGCACGGCGGGCGCACCAAAGCCGACGCTTCTGTATCCTCACTTCCAACACCGACGCGCCTGTATACTTCCAACAATACACCGACACATGACCGACGCGCCTCAAAGCTCGCCGCCCGCCCAATTTGCGCTGCTGCTGCACGGGCTGATCGGCTCTGTCGACGGCGCGCCATCGAGCTCTATCACGGCACTGCAAGGAGGCAGCCGTAGACTTGCAACGCTCTCCGCACTGACAGTGCTCGACAACGTTGTCGACGCCAACGAGCCATTCGGTGGTGTCGATGTCCACCTGCACAGCTGGAATCCCGAGCTGGCTGTGCTGCTCGACTCGCTGTATGGACGAGCGCTTCGAAGCTCAAGCCACCAGCCCGTCGAGACGGCAGAGAAGGCTCGCTCGCAGGCCATCTCCATTAGCCGTGCTGCAGCACGAATCGTGGCGCACGAGCGACGGAGGCAACTCCCATACACACTGGTGCTGGTGATGCGACTCGACCTCGTTGTCGGAGGGCCGGTGCGGTTAGACACCCTCTCGCCGCACAACGTTTGGTTTGGAGAGCGGTGCTGCGTGCACGCGGCACTGTCGCCACAGCACCGCGACGCCGTGAACGCCACGTGCGGGGCACTTGAGCACGGCAGCGCGTGGCGGGGTCAGGATCGGCAGAACCTGATCGGCAACCACCCGCACGGCAACGGGGCTCCGTCATGGGGCGGCACCGACCTACAAGATCTGCAGCGGGTGGTTGGCTTCTGCCGGCCACGGTTCCAACGGCCACGCCGCGCCATCAAGCGGTTCCGGCTGCAACGGCTCGCGAGCAGTGCGATGGCGACGCAGGGCGAAGCCTACGTGGTCGACGACTGGTGGTTTGCGGCGACGTCGGACGTGGTGGCGAGCTGGCGCGAGATCGATCTAAACTGGGGCGCCTATAGCGCGGCGCTCCTCGACGCGGGCGAGATGATCCGAGATTAGTCAAGATCTCCGTAGGACCCGGGATGACCGAGATTAGTCAAGATCTCCGTAGGACCCGGGATGACCGAGATTAGTCAAGATCTCCGTAGGACCCGGGATGACCGAGATCACCCGAGGTTAGGCGTGGGAGAGAGATGGTCGCACCACATCTGGCCGCTGCACGTGCACGACGTGCTCAACCTCACGCAGCAGGCGCGAAATGTAGCCGATATGTGACCGAGTCGAGTGACCGAGTCGAGTGACCGAGATCGGCGCGATCGGCCCAGCAACAAGACACGCTCGCCCGTCCTTCCGGCTCAACGCGTGGAAGTAGATGGTCGGAGTGGTGATGTTCATCACCTGACTCGTGGCTACCGCCTCACTCCACGCGACAGGTGCGCTTCTCCGGCAGCGTGCGCGTGCAGCTGGCACGGAACGCCTTCAAGCGCCTTCAAGTCAGCAAGCGGCGAGGGGCCGTCATCACAGGCTCCCTCTCGCCCGCTCCTCTCACCCAACATCACCCGAGATCACCCGAGATCATGTGTCAACCGCTGCCACTGCACCCCGCCCTTGCGACGCGTTGATGCCAGGCGAAGGGAGCCCATACCAGCGGGCCAACCCTGTCGTCTCCTACCGCGCCGCCGACGGGCCTCGCCAGCTCTTCCTCCCCGCGAGCAAGTGGCTGCACGATGCGGTCGGCGGCTGCCCCGCCGTCCGCTCGCTAGACCGACCGTCGCGCTACTGGCTCCGCGGGCAGGTGATCGTGAATGCTCTCGGCACATCTCGGGATATCTCGGCGCATTTCGTTAGTGCCAACGCCGCCGTCGCTTTCACCGCCGTCCAGGTGCCGTGGGCGGGCGCCGAGCCGCTGCGGGCAATCGAGCCTGGCGTGCCGCCGGGCGAGCCACTCCAGCCGCTACCACCAAGCGAGCCGGTCGGGGAGGAGGACGCGAAGTATCTGGGCCTCTTTACGGAGCGGTTCGCTACCATGGCGGCGCAGTGCAGCGCCGCCTCGCTGCCCCATCCTGTGGTGTGCTGCGGCCACCCCCGCTTCTGCGGCGTGCAGACCTGCCCCGGCACTGCTCCGGGCGTGCCGGGCGGGACCGACCTTCACGCCCGGCTCGACCGGCACTACTCCACGGCCCTGCGAGAGCGCGACTTCGAGCGCAACGCCACCGCCCTCCAGCCGCTGCTGCACGCGCGCCTCCGCCCTCGCCGCCCGGCGCTGCAGGAGTTGGCGGCGCGAAGCACTGGTCGGGTGCGGGGTGACACGGGCCAGCGCCACACCGGCCGGGCGGGCGTCATGGGAAGCGGCGCGAGGCAAGGCAAGGAGGAAAGGGGGGAGAGAGGCGGCGAGAGGGAGCACCGCAGCAGCGGCTTGGCGCGCGGGTCGCGCCGCCATACGGCTCGCCAGCGGCCCACGAGGACGAGAGAAGACTCGACGAGCGCGCCGCCGCCACGCAAGGGACTCTGCGCCGCCTTCGAGCCGCTCGCGGCGGAGCAGCAGCGGCCACAGACCGGGTTCCGCGGCTTCCACTACATCGCGCCGCTGCGCGCGTGGCTGATCGAGGTGCCAAAGTCGGGCTCGTCCACACTCGTCAAGCTGCTGCGCTTGCGCCATGGCGCAGATAGCCGAGGCGCACGCGCGCCGCGCCCGGGCGACGTGTCGTTTGCAGTGGTGCGGCATCCGGCGTGCCGTGCCGTGAGCGCATTCCGCGAGGCGTGGGCGAGAGCGGCGTGGCGCACCAACCGCAGTCGCTCGCCTTGCCCATTCTCGGACTTCCCCTACTTGCTCGACAACCGCAGCAGCGCCGAGCATCGGCTTCGCGTCGCCTTGCGCACGCTGCGGCGGCGCGGTTCAGCACTCGCTGGCCCCGCCTGCGGTTACGCCTACCACCACATGTTGTCGCAAACCTTCTTCCTCTGGGGCAACCGCAGCGGCGCGCCAGGCGATCCAGCACGTCTGCCGCCGGTGACGCGGCTGCTGCGGCTCGAGTCGCTCGAGCGCGACCTCTCCGCCTTTTGCGACGAGCGCGGCGCGGCGCCGTTTTGCCGCCAGGCGCTGCGCGCGGGCGTACCCCGTCTCAACGCGGCAGGGGTGGGCGTCGCTGCCTCCAACCCGTTGGGGGCGCTGCCACACGTCGTGCCCCGGGAGCTGTCGCATGATGTGCGCCGAGCCCTCGTAAAGACGTACGCGCGAGACTTTGCTTGTCTGAACTACTCGTACGCGCGAGTCATGTGCACAGAAGAGGCTTCCTAGCACGGGCAAAGACGAGGGAGCACACTTGGTCTTGGAGAAAGACTTTTGAGCCGTTTTGAGCGATGTGCGATGAGGCATGAGCGTGTGCCGTCGCTGCCCCGAGAGCACTCTCCCCATCTCCCTGACTCTTGCGCTTGGGCCTTGGGGAGCACTTTTGGAGCACTTGCCGAAGTCACTTGCGACTTGGAGCACTCGTCGAGAGCAACTTGCGGTGCGCGGTCATCAAACCGCCTGATAAATACGAAACCCATAGAGCAGGCTCCAGGCATATCGCTCTCCACGGGAAGAGCTAAGTTATAGGCTAAGTAGCGCACCCAGGACCCAGCGGGCCGGATGCTCGGGGGACGGGCTGTGCGGGCCGCACTCGCGCAGTGCGGGCTAGAGTGCCCTAACCCTGGGAGGTGCGCGGTCGCAGGGCCATAACACGGGTCTCCGAGGGTGAGAGAGATTTTTAGCCGAGGGTTAGACCCGCGTGCGTTGCCTAAACGATCTTAGTCGGTAGAAACGGCGTCGAAATTCTTTTTTGCGTTGCGCTCCCGAGTTGCTCACAGGCGCGCTTGACGTCCTCATCCTGCGTGGCCGCTCGACCTCGGACTCTCGCTTCATGTTCCACGCTCTCCTCCTCGCTCTCCTGTTGCACGCCTCTGCCGGCGCCAATATCGGCTCAAAGATCGGCTTCAGCGTTGACACCGAGGGTGCCGCGGCCGAGATCCGAAGGCAGGTAGAGGCTTCGCGGGCGCCGGCGGCAGAGCCCGAGCTCGTTGTGCCACCGCCGGCAGACGGCGACGCGATCGCTCCGCGACGCTCGCCACGCTTGGCACTCACCGCCGGCACGCCGCTTGTCGGCGGCGCGGCGGTGCTGGCGTGCCGTTGGCTCTTGAGCGCGCGGCTCGAGGCTCGGCTCGAGAGCGCTTGGCGTGAGCTCCAGGGCGCCGCGGGCGCGCCGGGCAAGCCGGGCGTGCCGGCGGCGCCCAGCGGACTGCGAGCGCGTCGCTCCCTTCTGCTTCGGCTTCAGCAGCGGCTGGAAGCGGTCGTCAAGCTCAAGCCAAAGTACGGGGCGCTCGAGCTGGCGCTGCCCGCCGGCCTTTGGTCCAAGGACGAGGAGGAGCTGGCCGCGGCAGAGCGGGCGCTGGAGGAGCGGACGGCGGCGTGCGGCGTCCTGCTCGACCTGCACGAGCGGCTCGGTCAGTCGCCGCCCCTCGGCTTCCGCGCCTGGCCCCTTGCCGACCTCGAGGCGCGCGCAGCCGAGCTGCGGGAGAAGATGCCACAGCTGCGAAAGGTGGCGGCGCTCTCCGCGCAGATCGGCCAGCCGCGGCTCGACATGTCCATCGCCGCGTGGTCCGCTGAGAAGCTGGAGGCGCACGCCGCCTCGCTCGCCGCGCGGGTGGCGGCGGCGCGCGCCCGCAAGGAGAAGGAGGAGCTCCTCGGCAAGGTTGAGGCGGCCCTCTGGCGCAAGGACAGGTCCGCCGAGCCTCCGATGGGGCTGAGCACGATGTCGACTTCCGAGCTCCGAGAGGTGCTCGCCGCCCTCGAGGCGCCTGCCGCCAAGGCGCCCAAGCAAGGTGACCCGTGACCTGGCAAGTTCTGTAGCGGCTAGCCTCTGCGGTAGCTCAGACTCGAGAGATGGAATTGGAATCGCACCGAACGTCGCACAGCGCACCTGCGTGACACAGCCGGGGCCCAAACCCAGCTCGTCAGCCGCGGAAGGCACAGGAGGATATAGGCCGTTTGAAAAGCTAGCGGAGCGACGTAAGTCGTAATAAACCTAAACGCGTCTCTCGCGGGTGAGCGTCTCTCGCGCGCTCTCTCTCGCGGCAGCCGTATGACGCTTGACGGAGATGTGACATGTGTCTGATACTCAAACGAGTCGTGGCTGCGCACGCAGCGAGAGGACGCCCACCAAGGAGACGCGGACAACTAGGCAGTAGGTCTCGCCGGGGCCCACACCCTTCACCTACACAGCCGATCGCCGCGGGAGCGCCGACCGTCGGTGTGGTGAAGCTGACGAGACTGGGCGCGCGCGCCTCCCCGACCCGCTCACACTCTCGTTCGGCGTCGGTGCAGGAAGGGTCCTGGGGAGCTCTGGTCGAGCTGGCAGCACCCGTCCGGTCGGACAGTGCAGCCTCCTCCTCCCCTCCCCTCCTCATCTGAAGCGGACGTGGACGTGTTGCCCGCCGTGGTTCATCCACATGCCGCCCTGCTGCTCCTGCAGAACAGACCGCGCACTCCGGCAGTGAGTCCGCGCGTCCCCGACGCGCCGAGGGGCGGCGTCGGGGCGGGTCGAGGGGGGGGGGGGGGTGCTGCTGCGCCTGCTGCTGCTGCTCGCCCGGGTTGCCGCTCACGTCCTCCCCCTCGTCGTACTTCCGTCGCAAGTCCTCGTCAGACAGGACCTGGGGCGAGGGTTTGGAGGCTCCCAAGCGGCTCCACAGCAACCTCGCTCTGGCAACGTCCGACTCGGAACGTGGCTGCCTCTCGGCTGCACCTCGGCTGCACCTCGGCTGCACCCCGGCTGCATCTCGGCTGCATCTCGGCTGGATCTCGGCTGGATCTCGGCTGCATCTCGGCTGGATCTCGGCTGCATCTCGGCTGCACCTCGGCTGCATCTCGGCTGCACCTCGGCTGCATCTCGGCTGCATCTCGGCTGCATCTCGGCTGCATCTCGGCAACATCTCGGCTGCACCTCGGCTGCACCTCGGCTGCACCTCGGCTGCACCTCGGCTGCACCTCGGCTGCACCCCGGCTGCATCTCGGCTGCATCTCGGCTGGATCTCGGCTGGATCTCGGCTGCCTCTCGGCTGCACCTCGGCTGCATCTCGGCTGTAGCTCGGCTGCATCTCGGCTGCACCTCGGCTGCACCCCGGCTGCATCTCGGCTGCATCTCGGCTGCATCTCGGCTGCATCTCGGCTGTATCTCGGCTGGATCTCGGCTGTATCCCGGCTGCATCTCGGCAACATCTCCGACGGCGACCTCGTACGCCAGCGCGACCGACTTGAACTTGACCTCGGCCGCCTCGCGCTCTGCGTCGGCCTTGTCCTTGTTCTTGTCGGGGTGGTACTCGACCGCCAGCTTGTGGTACGCGCGCTTGATCTCTCTCGGCGACGCGGAGCGCGACACGTTGAGCACCTCATGGAAGGGTGAGGGTTTGAGTTGGGTTGGGGTCAGTGTTTGGGGCCGCAGTCTCACGAGCACCTTGTAGTAGTCCTCCTCGCGGGACCGCTTGAGCAGCTTCTCCGCGCGCTGCAGCCCCTCGCGCGCCTAGCACAGGGCATGAGACTAGTACGCCCCGTCGTCTAGAAGACAGTGCGAGGCAGCGCTGCAGCCCCTCTCTCGCCTCCTTGGAGTGCTCGTCCTCCTCGGCGAGCTTGCGGTAGATGCCGATCGCGTCTTCGTACCGCTCGGCGAGGAGGGAGGCCTCGGCGAGGAGCGTGCGAGAGGGTTAGGGTTAGGGTTAGGGTCAGGGTTAGGGTATAGGGTAGGGTGGGTTAGGGTGAGGAGGAGGGAGGCCTCGGCGAGGAGAGTGCGATTACAGTGTATTATTATAATATGTTCTATTGCTGGAGGCCTCGGCGAGGAGCGTGCGAGACGCGGCCGACCCCGAGTCGAGCGCGTGGTGCTCCTTGCACGCGGACAGCGACTCGTCCTTGAGCCGCAGCTTAGTGCAGCAGATGCAGAGGTCGCGGTACAAGCTCGCGCGGTAGACGGCGGGCGGAGAGAGGGCGAGCGAGTCCTCGATGAGGCCGCGCGCCTCCTCGAACTGGTCGTCGCGCTCGAGCTGCTTCATCCGCCCCTTGCCCTCCACCTCCTTCCCCATCACGCCCTCGAGCTTGCCGAGCAGCTTCTCGAGCTTCTTCGCCTGCTTGTAGTCCGCCTTGCAGGCGCCGTGCTCCGGGTCGAGCTTGAGCGCCTCGCGGAAGTGTCGCAGCGCGAGCTCGGTGTTGCCCATCACGTAGAAGCCCTTGCCCCGCTTGTACAGCTTGGCGAGGTTGTCGTCCGCCGACGCGCTCTCCACCTCCTTCTCCTGCTCCGCCCGCTTCTTTCGCTGCTCCCGCAGCCACGCCCACTGCTCTCGACACTTGGCCTCGCACGTGAAGCTCTCGTGCGTGCAGGTCGACTCGGCGGCTCGCACGCCGCCCGCGCACTCGCAGTAGCCGGACCAGTCCTGCCCTATGCTCACGTCGCAGCCGCGGTCGCGAGCGGGCTCCCGCCGGCCCGAAGGGCTGCAGCCGGCGGTCTGCCGCCAGCCCATGCACTTTCCCTCGCCGCCGTCGTCGCCATCGGCAGACGCCAGGCCGGCGAAGAGCGTGACGAGAGGGACGCGCCACGATCGGCAGATTTCACGCGTCATGTGCCGTGGCGACTTGTCTGTCTGTGCGGTGGCGCTCAGAGGCAAGCCAACAAGTCGGGCCGCGATCGCGTCGGATTTCTTTTCGAGCTTGGCCTTGAAGCAAGGAGCGCGAAAGAAGCCCAAGTGGAGGACAATAGGACACGTCGACGAGCCCGCAGCTTAACGATCCGGCCATCGCAGAAGAAAGAAAGAAAATCGGTGTCTCTTGAAACGTGAGAGCGTTAGTTGTGTTCTAGCTTGGTTTCCGCCGCGAGTTCTTCCAACGCCGCTGCACGCAGCCGGGCCACTTGCTTGCAGCAGGCCACATTTGCCTACGACGGAATGGCTAAGCTTGGCGAGGGCGACCAGCGGTGGATCGTCAAAGAGCGGGAGGTGTGTGGACCCGGACCCCGGCCCCTAAACCCCGGCCGCCTCGTCGCGTGCACGCCGCCGGCCGTCCACCGGCGCCTCGCCTCTGCAGGACGGTCGGAACTGCAACAATTGGCACTGGACGTCCAAGGACGTGTCGAAGAACACGAAGGAGGAGCTGATCCGCTGCCTCGAGGCGTGCACCTTTGAGCCGCCCATCGCGCTCGCCAGAGTCAAGTCGGCCGAGGTGACGGGCGAGGCGAGCATCAACAACCGCAAGGGGAAGATCTTCCTCATCTACGACCTGGAGGTCAAGCTCAAGTGGGAGGCGAGCGACGGCGAGGGCGGAGAGGCGTGCAAGGGCTCCATGAAGCTGCCGGACGTGAGCCGCCCCTCGGCCCCTCGCGTGCCCCGCCCTCGGCTCTGCTCTGGCCCTAGTGCTCTGGCCCCAGTGCTCTGGCCCCAGTGCTCTGGCCCTCCTCTCCGTCGCTTGACGACGCGGCGGCCGCTGCCGCAGGTGAGCGCCACGATGCTCGACGACCTGGACTGCGAGTTCACCTGCAAGTCGAGCGGCGGCGTCGCCACCGCCATGCGCAAGCAGGGCGTGGCTGCCGTCAGGCGCTGCATCGAGGAGGCGATGCTCCGGATGCAGGAGGAGGTGCGGGCGGAGAAGGCGAGGCCGGAGGCGGAGGCGGTGGCGGAGACGCGCCCTCCGAACGCGACTCCCGCCGTCGCCGTCCCCCTCCCCAAGCCCATCGCCGTCTCGACCGTCCCCGCCAAGCAGCCTCCTCCGCAGCCAAAGCCTGCAGAGCCCGCCGCCGGATCAGACTCGGGCGCGCGACCACGCGCCGCCCCGCCCCTCGCCCCGCCCCTCGCCCACGCCCCTCGCCCCTCCCCTCGCCCCGCCCCGCGCGCTCGCCGACGGCCACTGCGGCCGTGCCGCGTGCAGGCGAGGAGGAGGAGGGCGAGGACAAGCTCCCGCCGGCCCTCGAGGCGGCGCTGCGAGGGCTGAGGCAGGAGCCAGAGGCGCAGCGAGAGGTCTGCCTCGCAAACTGCTCGCTGCGGGACTCGCACCTCGAGCCGCTCATCCAGGCCATCGCGCACTCACCCCTCCTTCGTCCCTCCCCGCTAACACGCCTCGCCCCCCTCGCCACACCTCCCTTCCTCTGCACCTCACCCCCTCTCCGCGCCTCTCGCCAGGCGCTGCACCACTCGCGCTGCGCCGTCGAGACGCTCGACCTGGCCTTCAACCGGCTGAGCGACGCGGGGGTGCACGTGCTCTGCAGAGCGGTCGCGTCGGGATGTGCGATGGAGCTGTCGAGCTTGCGGCTCGGAGGCAACAAGCTCTCGCCCGCCGGCCTCGCGCTGGGCCAGTCGCTCAAGCAGAGCCGGCCTCGCCCTGCTCGTCACGCCGCGCCGCACCGCTGCCTCTGCTCCGTGACTGGCGGCTCCCTTCTAGGCCCGACCTGCTCGTCGACCTCAAGCCGCAGCTCAAGGACGCGCGCTCCATGTGCCAAGTGGGGAACGTCTACCCGGGCTCGCCCGCAGCGACGGCTGGCCTGCGGACGGGCGACTCGATCATCGCCTTCGGCCCGCTGCTGCACGCCGGTTTCAGGGGCGTCTCCGAGTCGATCGTGCCCGCCGTCAAGGCGTCGGTCGGACGGCCGATCGACGTGGTCGTCGTGCGGATGGGCGAGGGCGCACAGGTGCAGCAGCTCGCGCTCACGCTCACGCCGCAGACCTGGTCCGGCGGCGGGCTGCTGGGCTGTATCCTCAAGTGAGGAGCCGTTGGGCGCTTTCGCAGCCGAGAGGTGGTGGTGCGGCCGCGTATTAGTCTAGCCGTCCCTCGTGCGGCAAAACCAAAAGCAGGATGGTAGCAGTCACTCGCAAACACACACCGCACCGCAGAGCGGGCCTTATTTTTTCTTTCGAAGCGTGGCTGCCATCTCCATCAGCGCATCGGACCCGTTTTTGCGTTTCTCGGTTTCGCTTTTTTTCATAGCTACTACTGTGGCGGGCACTCTCGGAAGATTTTTACCCATCTCACAGTAGAGAGGTGTCCGTTTTTATTTATTTATTTATTTCTCGGAAGATCCGCGCCATTCTTTTTTTGCTACCCCTCCCGGAGGCCCTTCCGACCCCTCTCGAGCCCTCCCGCCACGAAGATCCTCCCTTTGTCCGACCGTCCCTCCGAGCCCACCCGGCGCCCGAGCCCTCTTGCCTATCACCCGAGCTCGGGGGGGCCGGGGGGCGGCGAGCCCTCCTGGGACCCCGCAACCCCTCCCGCCTCGCCCAGCCCTCCTGATCCCTCTCCCTCCCGGAATCCCGGTGGACCGCTCCACCCTCCCAGCGCGCTAGCCCTATGGGACCCTGTGGAGCCCTCCCGACGCCGATCCGACGGGGACCCTCCAGCCCTGTGGGCTGGCGAGCCCTCCGGTCGGAGGGGTGGAAGTGGGAGGGCTCGAGGACGGACCCCTCTCGCTCCGGGAGGGTGGAGGGGTGGAGGGTGGAGGGGTGGAGGGGTGGTTGAGCTCTCTAGCTCTATCGATATAGCCCTACCCTTCCCGCCGTTTTAGGGCTTGCTGACCCGCTATGGCGGATGTAGAGCTCTACAGCTCTACAGCGCTCCAGAGCGCTCTACATCTCTACATCTCTACAGCGCTCTACACTCTACATCCTCTACACCCTCCCTCAGGTTAGAAGGCGGGAAAAGCCGCGGGAAAAAAAACCAAGAGGCATGGGAGGACGGCACGCCGCCACCACACAGGGATTTTAAGGAGAGGGGTGTGATGCGCTAGCGCCGCCGCCTGCCGCTCCCTCGCTCTCGCTGCTTGCCTGCTTCTCTCGCCTTTCGTCGCAGCTCTGCCCTCCTCGTTGACCTGGGGGAGTTCTTTTTTCCGCGAAGGCGCCAGGACGAAGGAGACAAGCAGAACGGGTCCACAGCCTTCATGACAAGCACGAGGAGCCAAAGCAGAAAGGGTCGACAGCCTTCGCGCGCCTGCAAGGTAGGTGCAGGGTTCTGGGCCTACGACGAGTCATCCCCAGTCGTCCCGCGCGACATCATCTTTGGCCCGCTGAAGGGAGACCGGGCGACTGGCGCTGTCATCTGGCTGCACGGCCTGGACGACACGCCCGAGTCGTGGGCAATGCGGCTCGAGCCCGAAAGGCGGCGGCATCCGCGATGGAAGTGGGTGCACCTGCGAGCGCCAGAGCGACCAATCACCTGCTACGAAAAGATGCGGCACCCGGCGTGGGGAGACTTCTTGGACTCGGGCGCCGTACGGGTGGGGTCGCGCGACTACGAGACCCGCGACCCCAAGGGGTGGTACGCCGAGAGCGTCGCACGCGTCCACCGGGCCATCGAGGCGCTCGCGGCCGAGGGGGTCCCTCCCTCGCGCACTGCTCTTGTCGGCTTCTCTCAGGGCGGTGCGCTGGCGGCCGAGGCGGCGCTGACGCTCGGGGCGCGGCTGGCCGGGTGGGGGCTGCTGGCCGGCTGGCTGACACCGCGGGCACGCGCGGCTCTCGTGCGGAGCGCAAAGACGGGCGGCCTTGCCGGCTCGCGGGTGCTCATCTCGCACAGCAGCGGCGACGAGCAGGTGCTCTTCGAGTGCGCTACCCTCGCGGGGCAAAAGCTGTCCAAGGCGGGGGCGCGGGTCCAATTCGCACAGCTGGCGGGCGTCATGCACGTCGCGGGCGAGGCCCAGATGAGAAAGAGCGCCCTCACCTTCCTCGAGGAGGTGCTCGACGGCACACGCGCACCCGCCGCGGAGGCGCCTGCCGACTACCTGCCCGCCGCGCCGCCCGCCTGCTCCATGCCGCAACGTGCTGCTGCAGCCTTGCCGTCCGCCGCGGCCGCTGGACGCCGCAAGGGAATCGCAAAGCCAAAGAACACAAAGCCGTGCCCCGCTTGCGTGGGCAGGCACCGCGCGCACACGTGTGAAAAGCGGCGGCGTTGAAAGCACCCGTCCCTCGGCGAGAAGAGTAGGGTCGTCCATGACTTTTTGTGTTCTATGGGTCGCGGTGGAACAGTACGTACAGACAAAACACTGTCGAACCACCAGCCCGACTCTCACTACAGTTAACCCCCAGCCAGCAGCCTGTGTGTCTCGCGTGCCTCGTGCGCAGCCCGCGCGGTGGACTCAAAAGCGCCCTCCAGTGGTTCGCCTCCAGCACGTGCCCCGCCCAGTGCCCCACGTCGCACGTGTCCGTCACAGCGTCACAGCTCACACACGAGGCCAGGCGGTAACGACGGCTGCCGGGCGAGACGGGCTGCCGCGGGTCGGGGTGCTCGGCACAGCGCCCTCCTCAAGATCTGCGTCTAGCCGCGTGACCTCGCCGCTCGCGTTACTTGCGAAGCTTGTCAAAAGATAGCTTCTGCGAGTCGACTCTGAGTGCTTAGCCTTTGAGCTTCCCACTTCTGATGCAACGTGACTTTCTTGTTCTCCTGGTCCTCGGCACGGAGTCGCAAGAACAGCGTGACCGCCGGCACAAAGTGCTCCTGCTCGCTCCTGATGGACTTGACGGCGTCCTGGAAAGCGCGATCCTCAATCGCCGCGCGAAGCTGCTGCTGCTGTCGAAGCCGCCTCACGGCCCTGTCATTCGCGAGACTCTGCTCCTTTCTGAGCCTTTCCAATGCGTCTGAGGCAGAGGCACGGCGGCCTGTCGGCACCAGGTTTTGTCGCCGGCATTGCGGAGCACTCACGGGCCTGTCGACGGGCCTGCACTGAATACGATCGGAGTCGCGGAGGAGCATTTGAACTGACTCAGGTGAGGTGTGGATCTTCACTTGTGGGTGTGCCCTGCATCTGGACTCCCGCACCTTTGCCGATGCCTCGAGCCTCCCATCACGAGGGAGCAAAATGCGACCTTCGACGCGCTCGAGCCGGATAGCCTCAATCAAATCGGCGCCCTTGTTGCCGAATGGATGCACCGCAAAGGGCCCGCCGACTGCTGACCGCTGAGTTGTCCATGGTTGGCGCATGTCTGTCAATCCACGCAAGATTGTAACGCCCGGCGCTTTTCACAGCCTTGTTATTGAGAAGAAAATACCTGATGGCGCTGTGTTCACAGGCCTTGTTATGAGAAGAAACTACGTCCTATGGCGCTGTGCGCTGGCCTGTGATAGGTTGAGGTGCGAGCCCTGGAGGCCGTGGGGATGGGGGGAGACTACCCGCGGGCCTAGAAGGCCCGCGCGCAGGGGGATGGGACATTGACACAAAAAACATTGACACAAAAACACAACCCCGGACCCAAGACGCGCACGCACAGACAGTCGAGAAACAGCAACGACGCTTTTGTTTGGATTTCACGCACAAAAACAAGTCAACCGGCGCCAGTGAGGATGTACGTCGTGTGCGTGTCTGGTGTTTACTAGCTCCGAGTAGAGGGGGCGTTCTGCTGCTAGGGGAAACCTGGAGCGCGGACTAACCCTCGGAGACCCGTGTTTACTTTACGGCCCTTTCCCTGCGAACGCGCACCCCCGGGGCTAGGGCTCTCTAGCCCGTAACCCGATCCCGATCATCCGGCCCGCTGGGTGCGCTCCTCAGCTCCCCGGCCCTGGATGTGAGGTTGATGACTGCACTCCAGTGCTCCAAGTGCGCCCACACACCACGCACACGATAGTCCGCGAGGTGGCATGAAGGTTGCTGCGAGAATTGGCGAGAAACTGCGAAGAGAGATAGGAAGAGGCAGACGCCCAAGGGCGGGCGACGGCTAGCACCACACTCCTCTCCTTAAATGAAATCCCTGTCTCGTGTGTGCGCGACCGAAAACGTGTGGACTGTGTGTGGTGGCGGCGTGCCGTAGTGAGGGAGAGACGATCGAGGGGTCCCGTACCAGATGGAATCAACCCTATCCAGTGCTCAAGTGCTCAACAAGAGGCGCACATCGCAGACAGACAGTGAGGGTGTGAGAGGCGGACCAAGTAAGGAAGGTCCTACATCTCTTTACTTCACAGACTCTTGTATGTGGCACGAACATCCCCGTTTGCCCGAAGGCGGGCCGTTGGGGGGCGACAGACTCAGACAGCGTCACAGCGATAGAAACAAAACAACAGAGCGATAGCGAGCGAGCGTATACCCCAGCCACAAACAACACGCCCCGAAGAAGAGCAACACCCATAGCCATACACACACACAGGGGGGGGGGGGGGGAGAGAGAGAGAGAGAGAGAGAGAGAGAGAGAGAGAGAGAGAGAGAGAGAGAGAGAGAGAGAGAGAGAGGAGCGCAAGCAAGCAAGCTGGTGGACTGGATGGAGTCTGCATGCAGGCAGGCAGGGAGAGAGAGAGGGAGTGAGTGCACCACGAGCGAATTATCGGGCGCTACTGTGAGAGATGGCGTAAATAACGTCAACGAGACTCCTCCTCGTGGGTGCCCGGTGCCCTAACGATTCCAAGGTTGTTCATCCAACGGCTGCGTTTCAAGTTGAGGGCGGCGGGCCTTTTCCTCGGTCCTCGGCCGCCGGTCTTGAACTACAGGCATCATGGCGCTCGCCGGTGCGAACGTCTCAGACGTCTCGCTGCAGCTGATCTCCGAGTGCCCGGCGACCGCCTTCCGTCTCGGTCGCGTTCATCTGTCGGGCCAGGTCGACGGCGAGTGGTGCGGCGGCAGGGTGAGTGCTGAATCCTCGGTCCCCGTGCCGGCCGACCAGGAGCACTGCGAGGGGGCTTACGTGGACCCGCTCTGGGAGCCACCCGAGCCGGCCGAGTACGCATTCGACTGCTCGCAAGGCTGCGCCAAGTGTGTCTACGGCGAGAACGAGAACGGCATCTATGTCTGCACCAACGACCGCGACTCCATCACCACGGGCTGCAACGGCTCCACCAGCCCCGGCCTCGAGTACACGCAGCACCGCACGCGCCTGACGGGCTCGCTCGACGAGAGCTGGTGCTGGAGCGCAATCAACGGCCTCACTGGCACCGAGGCCGAGCTGAACGCCACGTGCACGCAGTTCTATGTCGACCCCGCGGACCCAGACACGCCTGCAGAGACTTATCTCGTTGCGCTCGAGCACGCAGTCGCAGCTGCTGCAGGAGTAGCACCCGAAATGGTGGATGTGATGGTGTTTGGCCCAGCTCATCGCATCTCCACGTTGGCGTTCAACATCACGCACGCCTTCTCAATAAGGGAGAGCATTGTCCAAGCAACAGACCTCTGGAACACGGAGTATGGAGCAGTAACGCTGACGGTGGATCCAACTACCATCACATACAAAGTGTTGATTGCACCGGCCGGAGACGTGGGACTGGCTTACAGCTCGCTTCAAGATGTGCGCGGGGGAAGCGCGCCCTGCACCCTCAGCACCGTGTTCATCGAAAGTCAGAGCTCCCGCTCCGATTCTGGGGGCGTCCGCACGCTTGAGTCCTGCAAGGCGACGTGCGATGCCTTGCAAAACTGCGCGGGATTCGATTGGTCAAGCGACGGCTGGGAATGCCGTGGCTTTGACGCCATCGACATCCAATCATGCGCTGACGATTCCGTGAACGCCAGGCAGGGCTACATCCTCTTCGTGCGTGAAGAGCTTCCGCCACCTTCGCCACCGGCACCACCGGCACCGGTTGCACCGCCACCGCCGCGTGCACCGTTCTCTTCGCCGCTTCCGGCGCCTCCCCAGCCTCCGCTGGCGCCTCCCCCCTTGCCATCGCCAGCTCCACCTCAAGTTCCGTCTGTGGTTTCGCCACCGTCGCAGCCTGCCGTCTCGCCATCGCTGCACATGCCTCCCCCCTTGTCATCGCCAGCTCCACCTCAACTTCCATCTGTGATTTCGCCACCGTCGCCCGATGCTACAACATTGGAGCCGCCTCCCGCAACAGCGCCGCCGCCCGTCCCAATCCCGGCCGCATCACCGGGACCGACAACGGCGGAGCCGCCCCATGCAACAGCGCCGCCGCCACCTCGCACCCCGGCCGCAAGCCAACCGCCCGCCCCCTCCTCGACGGTCGTGTCATCTCCTTCCCCTCCCCCAAGCGCATCGCCTGGGCAGCAAGATGCAGCGGCATCAGATGACAGCGATGACGACGAGTCAACCCTTTTGCTGTTACTGCTCTTGTTGCTGTTGCTGCTACCTCCCTTGCTGTTGGCGATCTACGTTCGCATCTACTATGCTGGTAACGAGGCTGCGTACCTCCGCTGGCGCTTCTCGCACTCGAATCCACGAGTGGTCTGGGGCTATGCCACGAGTGAGCATCGATCGGAGCTGTGGGCAAAAGCCGCCGGCGCGTCTGGGGAAGCGAAATCTTCCGCCGAGCTCGAGCCCTCGTCTGCGACAGACTTTGAGCCATCGTCTGCGGAGCTCAAACCAGATGAAGTGACCCTTAGTCCTGCGCTTCTGCGTGCACGGCGCGCGAACGATGCCGGCTCTGGCTCTCCTGGTGGCACGAGAGCAAACAGCAGATTTGATCCAATCGAGCCGATTGAGCGCATCTAAGCTTCGGTGATGGCATGACTGCATTCCACATGCTCTCTTTCAGCGCGTGCGAGAGCCCCGTCGCTGTTAGACGGCGAGGGGAGAGGATTGTTCGCCTGTGCTTAATACAGAGTGAATCGTCGGAGAAGGTGATAGGTGTGTGCACACGAGTACAACGGATTTTGTTTTTCGCTTTTTGAGAGTGGTTGTGGCAAGTGAATCTTCAAGTGTGCTGAAGAAAGTCGTGCGTTGGGCCGAGCGTTTTTTATCTCTGGGTCTGTGGCTGAGCCCTGGTGTCGAGGTGTCGAGGCCCGGTGTGGAGGGTGTCGAGCTGCTGCTGTCGAGGGGTAGAGGTGTCGAGGCCTGTCGAGGCCTGTCGAGGCCTGTCGAGGCTGGTACCACGCTTGTCCGTGTCGAGGGGTGTCGAGGGGTGTCGAGGGGTGTCGAGGGGTGTCGAGGGGTGTCGAGGGTGTCGAGCGTGTCGTCTGTCGAGCGTGTCGAGCGGGTGTCGCGAGTGTTGTCAAGGGGTTTTGCGTCTAAGGTGTCGAGGTGTCCAAGGTGGCAGGATGCAGTTGCAGCCCATCAACAAAACTTGGGCAGCAGTTGCAAAGCTGTTTCATCCCTTATAGTTGCAGCCTCTCAGTTGCACCCTGTTGATGTAGCACAACCTGAGCACAACCAGTATACTCTCTGTGGACATTTGAGGACATCAAGTGCCGGGAGTCATTGCCACTGTGCACAAAGGTGCTGTGCAGGCGCAGCACCGCAGCAGCGTCGCCGCTGCAGCGTCGTCGCCCCTGCAGCGCCACCGGCGCACAAAGCGCAACTGACCACAGCGCTCCTTTCACAAGGCTGGTGCCATGAGTCAGTGGACATTGCCACTGCACAAGGTGCTGTCCAGCAGCTAAGGGCTACAGTACCCCATCGCAGCAGCGTCGCCGCCGCTGCAGCGTCGCCGTTGCAGCCGAGCGTCGCCAGTGCACAAAGCGCAATGGACCACAGGTCTGCACTCATGGCACAAGCTCACTGGTGTGAGGATTCATTGCCACTGTACAAGGTGCTGTGCAGCACCTTAGGGCTACCTGAGTACTGCCATGTTTGCTGCATCAACAGGGGTGCAACTGAGCTGCAACTTGAGCTAGAACTTGAGAGGCTGCAACTCAGGGATGAAAGTACTGCCAGCCAAGTTTGATTGCTGCTGCAACCCTGATTTCTAACTCTGTGACTCCAATGGGTCTACGTCTCTGCTGTGTTAGGATCATCAGAGGTGTCGAGCGGTGTCGAGCGGTGTCGAGCGGTGTGTGTCGAGCGGTGTCGAGCGGTGTCGAGGGGTGTCGAGGGGTGTCGAGGGGTGTCGAGGGGTGTCGAAGGGTCGAGTTTGGCACCTTGACACGGACGAGCATGGTTTCAGCCTAGATGGTGTCGAGGGGTGTCGAGGGGTGTCGAGGGGTGTCGAGGGGTGTCGAGTTTGTCGAGTTGGCATGGGGTGTCGAGGTGTCGAGTTGGTGTCGAGGTTTGGTGTCGAGGTGTCGAGGCCAGGGCTCAGGTCTGTGGGCGCCCGCCCGCCGCCTCTGAGGGGGTCGGGCCCCCTAGACTGAAAACAAAAACAAGCTAAAACAGCCAAAATCAGCCTGCGAGAGAGGCACTGCGCGCCGCTGACCTCATGTGGAGATGTGTGCCGACACCAATACTGATCTAAAACCTGGAAACCCTTGTTCAAAGCCGACCCTAAGCGCCATCCTTCCTGCTCTCACCTACCTGATGCTGCTTCCCCGCGCCGCCTCCTTGGGCCCCCTTGGGCGTATTTTCTACTCCCAGTGGGGCCCCGGGCCCCCGGGGCCCCTCTTGTTTTCTGTTTTCTGTTTTTCAGTGTTGTGCGAGGGAGTTTTGTTGTAAAATTCTGTTTTTCAAAACGCCCGCCCGCCCGCCACCCCGAGGCGGCTCGGCCCCCCACAGACCCAGAGATCAAAAACGCTCGGCCTTGTTATTCATATAGAGTAAACTGGAATGCTCTCCTGGCGCCTGGCAGCGCGCGCGGCGCCCGCGCGCCCCCCCACACACACCACATGGCCTCCGTGCTCCGACAATGCGTTTAGTTTTAGATCGCCGGGGACTGGCCTCTCCAATGCTCGCGCAACGCTGTCTGCACGCGCAGCAGCTCTCCGCTCTCCGGGGTCCGCGCGGGCGGCCCACACAGTGGGAGCGTTGACGACCGTGCGACTGTAACGCTACGTATATCTCTTAACAACCACCTATATTTGCCTTGCGCTGCGCCTCTGCAAGTGCAACTATCAATCACGCGTGTGCGTAATCCCCTCCATCTTGTTGTGCAGCCGTGACCTCTCCGCCTCTGCGGCACCAGCGCGCCTCGCCTCTGCCTCCATCGAAATCTGCAGCGCGTCGAGCTGCTCGCGCAGCTCAGCCTGCATCTTGGCCCGCATCTCGCCGATACGCCACTCGCACTCAGCTCGAGTCGCGTGTGTTTTCGTCGCTGCCCGGGGATTGATCACATTGATCTCCCACTCTTGTGTGTCATTACCCATTCACACTCTCTCGTGTGTCATTACTCGTTCCCAATTATTGGGGATTGGGTTCGTATATTCATTCAACGACGTAGTCTACAAAGGGTGTGTGATCGCTCCTGCGTGCACTGCCCAGACTCGTCGCCTGGGACGGCGGGATCAGGCCCGCCTCCCAACCACGATTTTGCCTCGTCGGCCATCCGCTCGGCCGCTTTGATGTCGCGTTTAGCAGCCTGCCACGTGAAGGTACTGTAGACACTGCTCTCGCTCCCAGATACACACACCGCACATGCATCTCAACGGCAGCGGCATTCATCATACAACACAGTACGAAGGGAACTATAGATAGATAGACGACTTTCAATCATTCGTGCGCCTGTCTCTGCGCGCGCACATCGCACATCAGAGCGGGCTCGGCGTGCGAGGGCTTTACAGAAGGTGCCGAGATCAGAAGAGCTCGGTTCGCTGCGCCGCCCCCTTCTTGATTAGCGACCTCCCGCTCACCGCGTCCAGGAAGACGAATGCGAACGCGAGGAGCTTCCACGTCGCTAGCGCGAGGAGGAGGAGCACCGCGTTATACTGGAAGCTCGGGTCGAAGTGCGGGTCGGGCAAATTGTCAGAGAGACCGGCGTAGCCGACTGCGACGAATCCAGCGGTGCTGCCCACAGCATCCAGCACGAGCGCGCTGGCCGGATAGTACGGGAACATGGCGGGCGCCATCAGCGCCATCGTGCCGCGCACCTGAAGTGAGCGAGGGCCGCAGCGTCGCGGGGAGGGCCTTGGTGGCTCGGGGAGCGGTGGGAGGGGTGCGCGCCATGGCGTCAAGCCACGCACGGAGCCCGGCGTATGCGAGGCCGACGGCGCCAGACACGAGGTCGCCTCCTTCGGCCGCAGACTGGCAAGCTCCGGGGCCGTGCTGGAAGGTGCGGGCGACGAACGTGACCCCGACCGCGCCTCCCCAGACCGCGAGCGCCGCCTCGATGGCGTACTCGTCGAGCGCGGAGCCGAGCGTGGCGACGGCGGCGACGCGGAGCGCCATGTCGGAGACCAGATAGCCGGTGATGCCGACGAGGGTGCCGCGGTGGGCGATGAGCTCGTGCCGCACGACATTGTGGTCCTTACTTGCGGAGGAGAAGAGCAGCCCGACCGAGGCGGCGATGGAGTTGAAGAAGCAGAGGGCGGCGGCGACGCTCACGGTGAGCACGTCGAGTCGGTTGGCGAGGATGTCCTGCGGCGCAGAGGAGTCTTCAACTCCTCAATCTTGCAACCATTCAGTCATCAAGGATCTCTCCGTGCAGCAGCGCGGGCTGAGGCCGTCAGGGGGGGGGGCGGGGGGAAGGGCGAGGGCGGGGGGAAGGGCGAGGCGGCTCTCCGCGGCTGGGCGGGCGTCTGCCGAGAAGGAAGTGTCTGGGAAGTGTCCTGGCGGTGTCTGAGTCGCGCCTCCCCGCGGTTGAGGCCGATGTTGTGGACGACCCGGTGGAAGCCCTCGTTGGCGAGCAGCACCGAGAGGAAGAAGAGCGGCGGCGCCGACCCGAACGTGGCCTGCACAAAGCAGATCGGCGCGTAGAGCCGCGACTCGCCCTCGACGGCATGACCTACGAGAAGGTTCCTAGAAGGTTCCTAGAAGGTTCCTAGGTCGTAGAGCCGCGACTCGCCCTCGACGGCATGACCGCTGCCGCCGCCGCGCGCAACCGCGCCGCTCAGCGTCGCTCTCTCGGCTCTCTGCTTGGCCTCGTGCTCGCTGAGGCAGCAGCTGACTGCAGAGGTTGGCGCGAGCGAGACGAGCCCCTCGACAGGCGTGAGCAGCCCCGTCGCTGCGAGGAGGCCGGTCAGCTTGCCTCGGAGCGCCGTCTCCCCGTTCGGCGTGTACGTGTGCAGGTCGTCGGCGGGAATCGTCTCCTCGCTGCCCGGCTCGTTCCTGCCCACAGCCAAGAGACGCGTGAGCAGACGCCACAGCGAGCGGCGACCGCTCCCCCGGCAGGCGCGCACGTGGGCGAGCGCATCACCCGCACGAGAGGTGAGTGGAGGCCGCTGCCGCGCGCCGCGGCGGGCGAGGGGGCGCCGGCGGAGGAAGGGGAGCCCCATGCGCCGGTGGAGGGGGAGGGGAGCGACTCATACTCGAGGGCGCGAGAGCCCGGTGTGGCGACTGCGCGCGAGGAGTAGCCGTCCTCGGACGGGGCGGTGGAGGTGATGCGGACGAGGCCGCGGGGAGTGGAGACGACGTCTCCGGGGATGGCGATGAAGAGGGGCGCCGGGCTGAGCGTGAAGAGGGCGGTCGCTGCGAGGGAGGCGAGCATGCAGCTGGCGAGGAAAGCCTCGGGGATGGTAAACTCCTCCTGAGGGGTCGCGGGGGCGGCGCGGCGGGGCGGCGGGTCGGCGTGAGGGGTGCGTGGGCGGGGACGGGAATCAGTGCGCCGCAGTCGGACGAGCGAGGAGCGTCGGAGGGAGAGGGGGTGGCTTGCGCGGCGGCGGCGGCGGCGGTCGCGCCTGGTGCAAGTGGTAGAGAACGAGGAGGAGGAAGAGCTGCTGCGCGACGAAGAGCAGCGCGCAAGCGATCATCGACGAGCGGCGGCGCGTCTTGCCGTGCAGCAGCCCGCCCAGCGCGAAGTTGACGAGGAACGCGGCGAGGCCGGCCCCGACCCCGAAGAGTGCCGCCTGCGGCAGCCTCTCTGGCTGCGGCTCGTTGCAGGTGCAGGGGCTGCGGAACCTACGGCCGGCCGGGACGTGTCCCGGACAAGACCCCGCGCGACGTCGCGGGCGCGTCGGCTGCGGTTTGCCATCCGTCGATGCGGTCGAAGGTCTCGTGCTTGTAGCAGTCCCAGCCGTTTGCGAGCGGCATGTACAAGTACTGCGACTCGCCCGAGCACTCCTTGCCGAGGCGGTGGAAGTGCGGCGAGGAGACGTTGTTGAGCGAGTACGCCGAGGTCAGGTGGTAGGCGACGTCGGGCGACGAGGAGCTGCGCCCCATCTCGTCGGCGTTGACCTATGAATGAGCCGAGGAGTTCACTCACTGCTCGCCCGGCGAGGAGCTGCGCCCCATCTCGTCGCGTTGACCGCGGCGGGGAAGCCGCAGAAGTCGGTGCACGACTGGCCCTCGTCCGTCAGCACCCAGCAGTGGCCGGTGACGTAGTGCCCCGCGCAGGGCGGCGGCGAGGGCGGTGGCGAATTGGGCGGCGAGGGCGGCAGCGGCGGCGACGGGGGCGGCGGGTGCGAGGGCGGAGGCGGGCTGGGCGGCGGCGGAGGCATCGGCGGAGGTGAGGGCGGAGGCGGGAAGGGCGGCGGCGGCGAAGGCGGCGGCGGCGAAGGCGGCGGCAACGGCGGCGGCGGCGACGGCGGCGGCGGCGACGGCGGCGGAGCGGCGGGAGGCGCAGGAGGCGCCTTGGGGTTTGGAGGCGGCGCGTGAGGGGGCGGGAAGGGCGGCAGCGGCGAGGGCGGCGGCGGCGAGGGCGGCGGCGGCGCAGGAGGAGGTGGCGGGGGCGGGGGCGGCGACGGCGGCGGCCGAGGCGGCGGGCCCGGGGGCGGCGATGGCGGGCTCGGCGGGCTCGGCGGCGGACGGGGCGGCGGGTGCGGAGGCGACGGGGGCGGCGACGGAGGCGACGGCGGCGGAGGCGGCGGTGACGGAGGCTTGGGATGCGGTTGGTGCGGCGGCGGAGGAGACGGCTCCGGAGGAGACGGCGGCGGCGGCGGCGACGGCGGAGGGGCAGAGGGCGGCGGCGGCAACGGCGGCGGCGAAGGCGGCGGCGGCTCGGGCGGCGGCGGCTCGGGCGGCGGCGGCGCAGGTGGAGGAGAGGGCGGCGGCGGTGTGGGTGGAGGGGAGGGCGGTGGCGGCGCGGGCGGTGGCGAGGGGGGCGGAGGCGTGGGTGGGGAAGGCGGCGGCGGCGATGACGGCGGCGGCGCCGGCGGAGGGGACGGAGGCAGCGGCGACGGCGGCGGCGATGGCGCGGACCAGCACGCGCAGGGCGCGCGGAAGCCGGCCGGGAAGTCAAAGGCGGTGAACTGCGGGTAGCAGTGCCACCGGTGCAGTCCGTCGATGAGGAGGTGGATCCCAGGGCATGCCTGCCCCACTTGGTCCATGATGTCGTGCCGCGACTCGAGCCCGAGCGCCATCTCGAGGCAAGTGACCACCGCGCTGTCTGTGGAGAACTTGCGCGTCGCCTCCACGTCGACGCGCGCCGCTCCCTCACACGCGTCGCTGCATGTATGGCCCCGCTCGCTCAGCACGTAGCAGTGGCCGTTGACACCGATCGCTCCCTGCATCGAGCAGTCGGTCTGCATCATCTCGGCGCACTGCGCCCGAGATATCTCGACGCCCGCGATGCGGTCGACGGGGGCGAGCGGGTTGAACGGCAGCCCCATCGCGCGCGCGAGGCAGCCTCTGGGTTGGGCCGCGGAACACAGCTCCACCTACCTTGTGCACTGAGAAAAGAATTTGTGCACCCGCACGACACTAGGCGCCTTACAAGATCTTGCTCGTGCAGGTGGGGACCCTGTCCTTCTCCCACCCCTCGTTTGGCGTGCCCGTTTTATTTATTTATTTACTAGGCGGCGTGCCGTCCTCCCATCTCCCTTGGCTTGTGTGTTTTCTTTCTTTCTTTCTTTTACTAGCTACCCTACGGCTACTATGGCTACTATGGCAGGTTGGGCCACGGCGACCAACAGAACCAGCTGCTGCCAAAGAAGATCGAGGACTTTGCTGGGCAGCGCGTCGTCGCCGTGTCGGCTGGAGATGGTCACAGCCTCGCCCTCACTGCCGACGGCGCCCACTGGAGCTGGGGCGGGGGAGGTGAAGGCCAGCTAGGCCACGGCGACGAGCAGGACCAGCCGCTGCCGAAGAAGATCGAGGCCTTGGCTGGCCAGCGCACCATCGCTGTGGGGGCGGGATACTTCCACAGCCACGCCGTCACCGCCGATGGCACTCTCCGGAGCTGGGGCGAAGGAACCTATGGCAAGTTGGGCCACGGCGACTGGCAGGACCAACTGCTGCCGATGAAGGTCGAGGCCTTCGCTGGCCAGCGCGTTTTCGCTGTGTCGGCGGGAACATCCCACAGCATCGCCCTCACCGCCGACGGCGCCGTCTTTACCTGGGGCCAGGGCGAGCGCGGCTGTCTAGGCCACGGAGAGGACCTGTCGGACCACGGTGCGGACCAGCTGCTACCCAAGAAGATCGAGGCGGGGGTGCAGGGGTAGGTATAGCTAGAGGAGATCACCGCCGGGCCGAGGCAGTGAGCTCAGAAGGCGGGCCGTGTGCGAGAGAGAGAAGCGCTTGCTCCTCCGTATCGCCTCCTCGAATCGCCTCCAGCCGTTTCCTGCAGCCTGCCTCCCTCAAAAGAAAAAAAACGTGGCAGAAAAACACAGCCAGTGAGCCAGAGAGGGGCCTCTCTATGTAACCAGCAGCTCGGAGCTCGCACTTGGAGCTTTGAAACGCCCACTTTCTTTTTCTACCTCGGGCGAAGTTTTTAGACGGTCCTCTCGCTAATCATTTTGCAGCGTCGGTGGCGGTAGGCCGCCAATCTCTCAGAGGGGAAGAAGAATTCGAAGCTACAGTTTTCGCAGTCATCGGCCGAGAGCTCGTTGACCGTGGACCGACGACCCCGGGCTCGCACTCGTACGCCGGACCCAGCGCGAAGCGCGGCGGGTCGGTGGGCATGCCGAGCTCGTCGGCCGTCGCCGGCAGCTGGCCCAGCCCGTCGATGGTGTACCCATCGGGGTGGGCCTTGGCGTACGGGTACGAGACGAGCGGGTAGTCAAACGGCGGGTAGCGCGCGCGGAAGGTGCAGCCGTGCGCCGGCGCGGCGTTGACGCGCCGCACGGCGGCGCGGCGCGGCAGCAAGAGGCGGCGGACGAGCGCCGCGCGCGCGCGGAGCAGCCCGCGCACGAGGCCCTTGAGCCAAGCCGGCTGGCGAGGCGCGCCGATTGCGTCGGTGAGGCGGTCGTCGAGCAGCGCGTAGATGACTCGCCGGAGGAGCGGCTGGACGCAGCGTGGGTAGGGCTTGATGAAGAGCAGCACCGACCCCTCGGCGACGCGCTGGTTGGTAACGCTGTACCGCATCGCCCGCGCCTCGTACGCTCGGTTCCATGCATCCAGCTCGTCGACCGTCGTCGGGATCTGCCGGATGCCCATCCGCTCGCCGAGCACTCGCCAGTAGTTGAAGCAGGCTTCCCGCTCGTGCGGCGTGAAGGCGCGCCAGCCGAAGCGCGCGCAGAAGCGCGCCGGCTCGAGCATGAACTGAGAGAGGGTGTACAGCATGTCGTCGTTCGAGATGCGGTCGGCGTAGAAACCGTGGATCTGGTTGAAGCGGGCCAGCGCGGCGGCGGCGTGCTGGTTGCTGCGCACGTCGAAGTAGGCGAAGTGCTGGATGAGCAGCGTCGTGTCCTCGTAGCGAGACAGGACGTTGTCGGGCTCGAAGCCCTTGGTGGAGTCGAGCAGCTTGGAAATCGTCGGCACGCCAAACGTGCGGAACAGCGCGAACTCGGCAGCCTTGGTGATGATGAAGGGCATCTCGAGCTGATACATCTCGTTGAGGATCTCGACCGAAGCCTCGTCGGCGCTCAGCCGCGCGAGCCGCCGAGCCCGCCGCCAGCGCAGAGCGCGCTGCAGCCCGAGGTAGGCCGCGACGGCGGCCGTGGTGATGAGGACGGGCAAGCCCCAGCTGGGCAGCATGGGCGATGAGCGGCTGCAGCTCCGTGTTGTCCGCGTCCAAGCAGCGAGGAAGCCGTGAGCGCCAAGATGTCTGGCCGTGGCGGGGGCGCGATCGTCCCATACGCCTCGTTTGTAGGGTTTCTTTTTCCGGGGAGGGGCGATGAAAAGAAATTTAACGGGCGATAACAAGATCGACCAGACCCTCTCAATCACGCCTCCCCTTCGCACTCGCCTCTCCACGTTCGCTCATCGCCTATCCAGTCCTCGTGTAATTCACGCAAAGACTAACATGGACTGCCCGGCTCACGCCGTCTTCCCGACGTCACGCCCGCCGCCCGAGGGGCTTCGCTGCAAAACCGTGCACCTCATTCGGCACGCAGAAGGCACCCACAACGCCGCGGAGCTGGAGGCCGAGCGGCGACAGCGATTCATGAAGAGGGAGGAGTGGCGGGCGCTGCGAGAGACGCATGGCGTCGCCTTTTACTTGCTCGAGAGCGTCACCGGCCTCACATACTGGGACCCGCCGCTGACGCGCCTGGGTCGGCGGCAGGCCGCCAAACTTCGACGCGAGCTGACCCGCAGCAACGTGACGTTCGACGCCATCTTCAGCTCGCCCTTCCGGCGGACGCTTCAGACGGCGATGATCGGCTGCCCGCAGATCGAGTGCCTCCACCGGGCGCGGCCGTGGTGGCGCAAGCTCGGCGCGTGGCTGCGGCACGAGCCGTGCCGGCCGCCACCCGTCGTGACGACGGACCTTCTGCGTGAGCGTATCGCCAACTACACGAGCGACGGCCGCCGCACGGTGACGCAGCTGGCGGCGGAGTTCCCGCGCGTCAACTTCGGCGAGGCGAGTCGCCTGAAGTGTCCCAAGCCCGCCGCCGTCCAAGACTACGCCACAGCTGCCCATCACAGCTGCCCCCCCCCCCCCCACCGAAATGTAAGAGGATCAAGAAAAGCGACCCTTTCTCTAGAACTAGGAGGTAGTCTTCACG